GATAGCCAGCCGAAAAGCGGCATGTGACCTTCCTGAAGAACAAAAGCAGCCTGTTGAAATCCAGGTTTCAGCCCCCATATGATTGCCATTCGAGCTGGAGCCATTGTACTAGGAGAGAGGGCTCAGGGACATACCATACTAATTCGGCCGTAAGCAGCGAATTTGTCCGTCTATTGTCTTGGTTCTGGAGTTGACTAAGGCCTTTTTGCCTTCGCTCACTCAGGGGCGTTTTGGTTTGTTTTGCTTTATTGCATATTTTTGCTGTCAGGGACGGGTGCTGGCTGGTTGGAGTGCTCCTGCAGCCGGCCCGCGCCATAGAATTGACGGTGATCCTGCAGTGCTTAGCCCTGGTCACTGCTCTTGCAGTCGCCCAGTGCCTTGCCCTGCTGTGCATCTCTCAGTGCGCCGTGCGTAGATGTTTGGTGCACTCATTCCAATTTTTTTTGATGACGGTCACCTTCTTGTCATCCCGTTTTTGCTGGATGTGAATTCGTTTTGGTTCTCTACTTGCAATCGGACTATGCCATGCTGAGTGAGTGGTGGTCATTGACATGATGCGAAGACCTTCAAGCAATGACTGAACTGCCCACTGCTGAGTCGCTGGTCACTGCATAAGCTCATTGTCAATGCTATCCGCGTGATACGCCTATTTTTTGTGTCGCCAGATTAAGCTGCAGGGTATGCTACTTACAGCCACACTGTGTCTTGGTGCGCCTGAAGGCCCCTGGTGGGGTAGGTGTAGAATTTGCACCGTGAATCCCCCCAGAGGCGGCACACAATCCTCTTTTGCTTGCCCTGTGGGCCCTGCCCTCCGAGATGGCCACAGCTGTGACCGCTGCCGAAACCTGCCTTGGCATTCTGTACCCCGTGATGGGGTTGCCCCCCCCCTTGTGGGGGGCTGCTGGATTTGATTTTACAATCTTGACTACGTGGTGTGATGCCAGCCGTTGGTTACTTGGAGCCTTTCTTGCTTTGATGATTGCTATGATGATGTACTTCGACGACGTGGACAAGTACTATTAAGGGGACTCTGAGAGAATTGCTTTAGGCGGGTAGTGCTGATTTCTTTGCTTTCTTGTATTTGTATCTGCCCTGTTGTATAGTATGTAATAGTGTAAGGGCTTAGAATTCGTTTGATTGCTTTGATTTTGTGCTGGCATCGAGGGTTTTTCTCTTTGGTGCCTTGGTGGCTGTTTTGTGGTTGTTTGTGTTGGGCTCCGGCCCCTTTCCTTTGGTTCTTGTTTCCTGTTGTGTTTTTTGGATTGCATGGGAAGTTACGCATATCTGACCGGGGGATGTGCACTTCTTCCCTAGGCTTTCATTGGTTGTCTGATTGACTTGCCACCTGCGTTTCGTGTACAGCATCTACAGAGGCTTCTAGTTTTTCTCTGTACTCATGTATTTTTGTTTAGCACACTTAAAGGACCGAACCACTGAGCTTAATCGGCCAAACTCCCAGGAAAAAAATGGTGGCTGTCAAACTTTGGATGTCGTGCAATCCAAAAGGACTTAGTGCAAAGTGTTGGATCAGGGGGAAGACAGACAACTTGGGAAACTCTTACGCAGTAGCGAAATGGATGAGCACAAAGTTCCCGCTCACGGTACTAGTGATGGAACTCTCGGAGTCACTTAGGCTGGGAAATTGTTGTCTGTTGCTTGATTGGTTGAGTAAAACAAAAACCAACTTGCGGACGACCTGTCGAACATGAAATTTGACAGTTTTGACTTGAGCTTGCATGTGTGTTGGAAACCGTTTGAACAAAGAAGGCTTGTGCTTTCGGTTCTTGATGCATGCAAAAAAATTTCGTGAGGAAATGCAAAAAAAAATCAGAAACCACACCGGTGGAACCAAAACGAAAAAAAAAACGCGGAAAAGAGGATTGGGTCCTTGGTGGGTCGGATGTCCACCTCGGATCAGAGGCTATTCGATTCGGTTGCCATCGGAAACAAAATGGCTGTCGTTAGCCTTGGTGTGAATCCAACCCATACAATCTTAATGAGAAGGCAAAAAAAAACAGTCCGCTTTCAGTTGTGGTGATTTTTCATTTGCTGTGATTCAGTTTTCTGCATGTGCACTGTATATCTATAACGCGTGGTTCTGTATATTAGTTACAAATATACCGTGGCGATAGCCTCACGTTAGGATATACATATTTTGGCGCGACCGCGACTAAATTTGTAGAGTTGTTGCGCGAGCGTAGGTTTCTGTGTTGTTCCTGGGAGGGTTTGGGTGGGAACCTTACTTACATAACTAGCACCGAACTGTGTCAAAAAGTTGCGACCTCTGTGCGAGCGAACTCACTGATTCGTTTCAGATGTCATTTCGCGTTTTCGGCATTTTTTCATTTCAGTTTTAATTTGCTTTGGCGAACGACCGTCCGATCCAATTTCGACGTGGCGCATATGATGTAACTCAACGCGTTGATGAAATTTTATTTTGTATGAGAGATGTAGCATTTCCCTTAGTTTAAGGGAAAGAGAACATGGGAATGCATCTTATGTTGGCCACCTCACAACTCTTTCCATGTAACAAGTGGCTCAAGTGAGCCCCAAGATCGTACAACAAATTTTCGTGCCATTGGTGGATGCAACATCGTGGGGCCATCGTCTACCACGACCTTCTCCGTTCTTCAACGTTGACTTCGCGCTTTTGGTTTCTTGCTTCATTTCTGGCTGGCATCGTCGTTCTTCTGGCTTTTCTGGAAGTTTGCACATCAATGTCGGATGACGACAACCGGGTCCTAGACCCTCCTCTGCAGCACAACGATTCCAGCGACGATGACATTCATGGAGGACCACCTACACCTTGGACTGGTGTGGCCCTCAACCTTCTTATCAACTTGACCCTTAAACAAATGGTGGCCCAGATTTTCCATTTGGACGTTGACACACCTGGACTCATTCGGGTTTTGTGCAATTCTACCCCGATCGATTTCCGGACCACCATTGCCGGCCTTGATTGGCCTCGAAGGGTTTACGTGCAAGTCTCCAGTTTTACAGAATATCAACGAGCTGTCCATCTATTCAATCAGCTCCAACATGCCCCAGTTGCTCCTCCACAGGAACATCGTGCACGTGGCACGCTACCAGTTCAAGTTTACCTTCATTTTGTGTCAGTTTTTCGCGCCTTACAGCAATACGAAAATTTGATCAGCTCCCAGTCGGTTGTCATTGGGCCGCTAGAAGATAGGCTGACCCGCCTTGAACGTTCCGTTTCAACAGGTGAGCCGCTCGTGCTCACCCCAAGACAGGTAACCGAACTTTCCGTATGGTTTCCTGAGTCCCCGCCAGCTCAGTCGTCAACAGCTGCCTCTGACCACCATGCTTGAATTGCAATCTAAAAACCATCTTCTGGGGGGGTGCGTCCATGTTTTTTTTAGCACATTGAAACAACTGATACAGTGACTTTGTACCTTCATTTCTTTGAGGAAATACCTTGACCTTTCCAAAACATTGCTTAATGTTTCGATTTAGACCAGTGCCGAATCTCTCTCTGCCGTTTTCGAAGTGGCTCAAGCCAACAACGGGACCGGAACGTTGAGGCCTGGCTCCATTGACAAGAGTTCAAGTGAACCTCTTTTGATCCAAGTTTGGTCACATTTGTTTGTGGGACTGTCAGGTGACATCCTACATACCTCTCCTCCACGTGGAGGCCTAAGAGGACGTGCTTCAAAGTAATGGGAATGAATCCCGTGGGCTGCAGGCCTGTGGTGACGAGTGTCCCAACCTGAGATAATGTTTGAGGCTTCAGTTAACCATTTGGCAAATCCTTGGTTTTTATGGTCCCCAGACTTCAGGTGAGGCCTTGGTCTCACTGTCGAGCCCTCAAAGAATTGCAAAGTGCTTTAACTTATCCTTTCCCCAAAAGCCACTTCCGGTTTTGGCACAAGTGTGCCTGAGAGAGCAAGTGCCTGTCCATGTGTCCGGGCATCAAGGTGTTGCCCCTTTTGACTGTGGCATTTTCGAAATCCTCAACCGAAGGCACAAGAAGGTGGGCACATTTGAGGTAGCATGACAATTTCAATTTAGTTTGAGAAGCATGACGCTCAGAGCAAGCTCTAACTGAGCCATTTGACTCGGACGGAGACCCACAATAGGCTCACTGGTGAAGGAACTTCGGAGTCAGGATCCCAAATCCTGATTTGACCTTGATGCACTCTTGCTCAGATCGTTAGTACAGTGTGAGGTGACCGAACTGATCAATTGATGCAGATTCCATCCTAAGAAACTTCTTTGTTGCCGATGCATTGCACAGGTTGACATGAAGGCCAGTGGACAGGTTGGAGCCTCCAGCGCCAGGTTGGACAGAATCCAGTCCCGTAGGAGCCTGCTCATTGGAGAAAACGTGGGCACACTAGCTGTGATGCTCGCGACACTGACAGTCGAAGGGGGCGAATGGCTTCGAGTGATTTCCAAAGCAGAGGCATGCCTGCACGAAATTTTTAGGTTGGTCGGAACACCTGCTCTTCTTGACTTGTTCGTTGATTTCTATCATGAGATGGAGACAACAAAGTTGTGGTTCCGAAGTAACCGCGAGGAACACCTTCACGCCTTTAGGGACAGAGTGCAGCGTAAACGATCCCCGTTATTCATGCAAACAAGCCTAGGGGTCCTCAGGACTGACCATTCGCCGGTTTTCAAAGACCACCTTGATGCCTTTTCGAGTTTGGTTGATCACTTGATCATAAGCTGCACTAAGCCGGACGAAGTGCAATTATTTAAATTTTTGCTTGAGGTCAAAATCCTGCTGGATTCCGTCGTCGAGTTGGTAGGGTGATATGACCTAGGCCCCTAACTAATAGGTCCTGTCCATACGTGAGAGTTTTTGAAGTCGGAACAGCCCTGTGGCCTCGTCCTTTCCATGAGCAGAACTTGCTTAGCTGGCCGCTGAAGGAAAAAGAGGTGCATAGTATCGTCATTCTTCAAGGAACGATGGCAACACTATTGAATGCGACAAGCAGCAGGTGTTTTTCATAATTTTTCACTTTTTAGGCTCGATGATGGACTCAGAAAATTCGCTCCCTGACAGGGGTACGCCCCTACCTTTGCCAAGCAACATCGATAGCCATGCAATCGACGATGATCAACAGTCGCAAGATCCAGCGCAGTTGCACAATCCAGCGGATTCAGAAGGCTTGGCGCAAGATAGCTCTGACCCGCCACCTCAGAGCATGACGGACGAAGGTATGGACCTCTTTGGCCATGAAAGCTGCAGTCTTCCTAGCTTCGCTGCAGAGGTCCAAGAGGACGACCCAACATTATCAGATGAGTTGACCGAGGCTGACAAGGTCACCTTAGATTCCATTGCCCACCAAGCCATGCTCAGCGCCAGTCTGTCTGACGGGTTGGCATTGCCCTGGGAGTCTGGCATCATGGCAAGCATCTTTGGCGATGCACCCCTTGTACAAGAGACCGCACTGCCGAAGGTCTCCCAGGCGCTTGACCCCTCAGAGTTGGGACAGCAAAGTCGGCGTGGACAGGTCGAAGGGCCGTCAAAGCGGCAGAGAACAGATGTGGGTGGCAATAGACTCTATGAGAGAGCTATCTCCTTCAAGAATACGCTGACCGACCCGGAAATGGACCAAGCAAAGTGGAGTCGAGCTCTAGAGAAGTTGTACACCGTAATGGTGTCTGGGCCGGAGAGCTGCCCGTCGAGCATCGCCTTCAGCTCGGAAGACGTCGAGAGAAACCTGAGGCAAATACGCCTACTGTGCGGAGCCAGGAGCCCAAATACTGTGGCCAAGAGGGCAAATAGCCTTCTGCAATTCTGCCTGTGGCACAGAGGGTACTTCTATAGAAAGCACCCAATTCCATTTGTGCAGGGGGACATCGCTGACTATGTGTGGGAGAAGCACCAGGATGGAATGTCCTACACTGGGCTGACTTCCTTCGTCGAAGCTGTGCAGTTTGGCACACATGTATTGGGGCTCCCTGTGGCCGACCCTGAGAGCCCTACCATTTCGGCCTTTGTAAAAGGCCTCCTTGATAAAATGGCTCTCTCCAGACCCAAAAGAAAACAAGCAAGACCGCTCACCGTCCCAGAGGTGACATTTCTAGAATCAATGGTCAAGGATCAGACAGTGGATCCCATCGACAGATATGCTGCAGGAGCCTTTCTTTTTGCAGTGTTTGGGCGGTGTCGCTGGTCGGACCTCAGGTATGTTAGCCATTTCTTCTTGGATGTGAACAACATAGAAGGCAAGACCATAGGGTATTTGGAGTTTGCCACTTTTTCGCATAAGACTGCAGCTCAAGTGGCGAGACATGGTATGCCCCTTCCTTTGGTTGCTCCTATCTGGGGTCTGACAAACCCGTGCTGGGCCTTAGAATGGTGCAAGCTAGCGAAGGAGGTTGAGCTCAATTTCGACAACAGTTTCAAGGGCCCTATCCTGCCAGCACCGGACACGTCAGGGAGATGGAACAAGAGAAGCGTGTCAGCTTCGGAAGCGACGAAGTGGTTGCTTGAGCTGCTCAAACATGGGGACTTCAACCTTGATGAGGTGACTTCGCACAGTCTGAAGTGCACGACGCTCTCTTGGCTTGCTAAAGCCGGAACGGAGCCTCACCACCGTTTGGTGTTGGGCCATCACAGTACCCAAAAGGGCTCATTGGAAACATACTCGCGGGATATGTTGGCGGCACCACTGCGTGCACTGGAGGATGTCCTTCGGCGCATTCGAGTGGGGGTGCTCCATCCCGACATGACCCGATCGGGACACATTCAGGAGCCCAACAAGCCAGACTGTGCAGAGAACACCGAAGATAATGAAGGCGCCAACAGCTCCTCCTCCTCCGACAACAGTTCCTCCTCTTCTAGCTCATCGGGATCAGACTCGGAGAACGAAGCAGCAGAGAACCTGATCGCTGTAGGTGGTCAGGACCCAAACGTTCAGGGGTCATCCTGGGGAACTGGCATCATGTATCAACATGTGCTCAGCAAGATAGTACATCTGAAACTCAGTGACGAGGCCAAAACGTTTGTTTGTGGAGTCAATGCCACGAAGGACCACAGCTTAGTGAAATCCACACAGTTTTTGGAGAGCCGCAAGTGCAAAAGATGCACAAGGGTTCTCGACGCAGCCTGAGCGTGTCAAAAATCTCTCCAACAGATTCGTTTATCATGTGTAGAATTTTTGTGCAGGTAACATTAATCAGTCGGTGTCCGTTGACAGCCCGCCTTTTGGCTAAGCCAAAACAAGAGAAGAAAAAGGGTCTTAGTGGCAAAAGGTTTTCCTTATCACTCCACCTTCCTCGTCATTCAGGGTTCATGTTTAAAATAAAATTTGCCAGGTGCCTATATAGGACTCACACACACGTAGAAGCCATGGCGACGATGCCGAGAGAGGCATCTTCGTTGATTCACTCGACGGCGGCATTACGAGATAGGGCCACAAAAGCAGGACTCAGCTCAGAAGAGGTGCAAGCCATCCTAGACAATAATGTCGTGTCCATTGCTCAGATGGCTTTCGCCATAGCACCCCCTGGGACTTCGCCAACAGAACAGCAGGTCCGAGATTTCTACCAGGATCGAACTGCAGTCAACATGGGCACTATCACGTCGACTAAGTTGTTGGTCTTCGAGTCTCACACCCTGGTCGTTGCCAACATCAAATCCGAAGTTGGGAGAAAGGACGATGTTAGTTCTCACTGTGTCCTGCCGACAGCCGAAAGAGACAGGCGTGTGCTGGACCAGCAGAGGCGCCTGACTGGGCTCCGTTTCAAGGGGGACGAAGAAGTCGCCTTCTCGGCCTACGACCTTGTCTTCACGATGCTTGAGAAGGACACATTGACGTACCTACATCCAGAAAAAATTGTGACCCGACGTTTCGAATTGGCCCAAAAGAGGCCACCAAAACAACTGGCTTTGGACAACGAGTCGCTCACAGTGAAGGAGCACCCTGTGGATTATGTGTGCGCAACATGCACAGAGCTTGAACTCGTTCAAGCCCTGCGCCGCCGGGCTTTAGCCTTTGATTTGGTGGGCCTCCTTCCCTATGAGGTCATGAACTCATACCATGCTGAGCTTTTGAGCCACCTACAAGAGGATGCTCCACCAGGATATTCCAATACAACAGTCGTTCAGGTACTCCGTGCCGATAGGGCAGCCTTTATGTACTTGGCAGAGATCATTACCAGCTTGAAACGAACTCCCAATGGCGAGCTGCCATTGGAGGTGGAACTTCCAAAGGTTTTGGTGAGGCCAAGTGTGAGCTTTCACCTGTTGCCGCTCACTGCCCAGCCACCAAAGGTCTCTCCGGCGGCCAAGGCAAATCCCAACAATCAGAACAAACGCAAGCACGAAGATGCAAAACCAAGCCCCCGGGACCAGCCGGGATCCAAAGGGCAGCCCTCCAGAAAGGGCAAAGGCAAGGGCAAGACCAAAAACAAGAGGGGGCGAGGTCCCAATGTGCCCAAAGATTTAGTGGGCAAATCCCTTGAGACCGCCGACGGACGTCGCATTTGCTGGCCATTTAATTTACCTTCAGGTTGTACAGATGCAGCTCCTGGGGGTCAGTGCACTCGAGGGGTTCATGTTTGCGCCGAACCAGGCTGTGGGAAACCCCATAGCATGAAAAACAACTCTTGACTCCCAGCCGCTGAGCCAGAAGCATTTGCGTCTTTCGAAGCAAAGTTGTCAGCCAAGTGTTCCCAGAAGAATGCCTTTCAGCTTTTTGCAATTGAAATTTTTGCCGGCACCGGTCGCCTCACCGCATCTCTGCGGCAACTTGGTTTGAAAGACTCATTTGGGGTCGACCACATCATGTCAAACCATTTAGCTGCACCAATTTTGCAACTCGACCTTTTGAAACCAGAATGTCTCGCTTTTGTTGAAAAGATCATTCGAGAAGAGGCTTGTGTTTATGTCCATTTTGCACCACCTTGTGGGACCTCCAGCAGAGCAAGATTCATCCAACGTAAGGGACGATATAATCCCCCAGTTCTTCGAACTGATGCACATCCCAATGGGATAGCAGGACTCAGTCCAACCAATGCAGCCAAAGTTGCTTCGGCCAATCAACTGTATGAAATCACTCAACATTTGTGTCGCCTATGCCATGCTCTTGGCGTGCTCTACTCGGTGGAGAACCCAGCAAGAAGCTTCATGTGGTATACCACACACTTTGCCAAGTTCCTCCAGGAAGTCCCACATTTCTGCACCTACTTCCATCATTGTATGTATGGCTCTGCAAGACGTAAACACACTTGTTTGGTCCACAACATTGCCACCGTTAAAAGCATGGAGTTGCTGTGCAATAACGATCACGCACATGAACCATGGGGTCACACTGACCATGGATGGGCCACTGCACAGGAAACTGCATACCCATGGCCTTTAGCCAGAAAGCTTGCCACATTAGTTGCCCTCCATTTGCAGCGTTACGGAGTCCAATGCCCGACTCCCACCTTTGCCAAACACGCCAAGGAGCTTGATTGCATTCGCCAACAGGTTCATGTGCAACACTCAGCCACAGGCCTACCGTGGGTCAGTGAATTTGCCTACACCATGCAAATTCCCGCACAAGAACCAGTCCCAGGAAATGCCAGACTCCTTACCACTCCTACCATGGGGGATATCGCGAGTGAAGGGTATAAAACAATTGGGGTGCATAGGAGCCCAGAAGAATTCATGAAACAGGCAATAGCAGCTGGGCACCCTGGACAAAGTGCAGATGAACTGCCAGGCCCAATGAAAGAGGCTGTTTCGTTCATTTCAGAACACTCGCCCCAAGCGGTGGCGCAACATAGATCGGAAATGCTGAGAAAGATGATCGCCAGGTCAGTCCAGCTCGCAGAACAAGAGAAGGAGCTCAAAAGAAGTATGTCACTCAGACGACAACAAGTGCTTGAAAGCAAGAGGTTACTTCTATTTGGAGAGCTACTGTCCGAGGCAGGGTCGAAGGATTCATCGTTGGTGGGGGACATGTGCAACGGCTTTGACCTCACCGGAAAACTCCCTGCTTCCAACCACTTCAATCAGAAGTTTCGCCCAGCAGCTCTGCCCACAGAAGCACTTCGAGGCATAGCAGATCGGGCTCGCAGTGTCCTTCTAGCGAGCGTGAAGAGCTCAGGTGACGCGCTGGTGGATGAAGGTGTTCTGAAGGCCACCTTGAAGGAGAAAGACTTAGGATTTCTCAGTGGCCCGATAGATGCAAAGTCTATCCCTTCCGGGGCCACTCTGACACGCCGCTTCGGAGTCTTCCAGAGAGACAAGGTTAGGCCTATAGATGACTACAAAGCCAGCTTGGTGAACTCTGCAGTCACTCAGGTGGAAATAGTTACACTACATGGCATCGACCACATAGCGTGCCTGGCAGCAGCCCTGATGTCTGCTGCAAAAAGAAGGGGAAGCAGTGTGCAGTTGGTCTCAAAGTGCTGGGACCTGGCCGCGGCTTACAAGCAAATCCCATTGTCTGACGAAGCATATGCAACAGACTCGTACATTGTGATTTACAACCCCACTACAGGGAAGCCTGAGATCTATAGGCAAGCGGTGCTCCCCTTTGGGTCCATCGCGTCAGTCACAGCTTTTCTCAGATGTGCCCTTGGAATATGGCACATAGGGAGCAGTCTGCTGAAGCTGGCTTGGACATCATATTTCGATGATTTCCTGAGTATGACGCCGGCCTGCCTGGACAAACACACTGAGCTATGCGTGGCCACACTGTTTCAGCTTCTAGGTTGGAAACTCTCAGCCGACAAACTGGTTCCTTACGCTCATTGCTGCAAAGTCTTGGGCGTCGAGGTCGACCTCAGCCGGAGCCCGTCGGGTTTGGTTCAGGTCAGAAATACAGAATCCAGGCAACAAGAGCTGATTTCTGTTATGAGGGACATCCTCACCAGAGGGTTTCTGCCCCGGGCTGAAGGCGAGCGACTGCGCGGCAGATTGCAATTTGCCTCAAACCAGTTGTTCGGTCGCCGATTTAGAAACTGCTTGAAGGACTTGAATACCCACATATCAAGGAGCTTTAGAGCCCTTTCCAAGGAACTGTCAGAGTCTCTGGAACTCATGGTGGAGATGATCACTGAGAATGCACCACGGCAAGTTGATGTCAACTTCCTGGACTGGACGCACGTTTACGTTGATGCATCCTTCGACCCCGATGGGTATTCGGGCATAGGTGGCTTGATTCTCAATTCCTTTGGCCAATGTTTGGGTTGCTTCAGTGAAGAAGTCCCTCAATCCTTGGTGGACAAGCTCAAAAAGGAGGACCAGAAGACGGTGATTTTTGAACTAGAAGGTTTGGCCATAGCTGCAGCCTTGTACACGTTCAAAGATTTCGTGAGGGGCAGAAGAGTCGTGATTTTCACGGACAACCAGAGTGCCCAGGCTTGTCTCATCAAATGTAAATCAAATAACTACCAAATGAATCTCATTATCCGGTCCATTTGCACTTCAGAGGAAGAGTTAGGGCTGGTCTCCTGGATAGAGCGAGTGCCGTCCCAGTCAAACCCAGCAGACGAGCTGTCCAGGGCTAAAATTTACAGGTATGCAGGTATCGATGCCAAGCAAGTTGATCTGCTCAGATGTTGGGCGGAATGCACAAAGGAGATGAACGTAAGCCTGTCTCAAGTGAGAGGGGGAGAGACGCGAGACAGAACTTGAAACGCAGAATACCCCGCGGTCAAAAGAAAGAGTTGTGAGCGCAGTTGCGTTGCATCAGCATGAACATGTTCACCCTACATCGATGCCAACAAAATAAGATGTAACTCAACGCGTTGATGAAATTTTATTTTGTATGAGAGATGTAACATTTCCCTTAGTTTAAGGGAAAGAGAACATGGGAATGCATCTTATGTTGGCCACCTCACAACTCTTTCCATGTAACAAGTGGCTCAAGTGAGCCCCAAGATCGTACAACAAATTTTCGTCCCATCCCCTTTCACTCCGTTCTCTCCCTCCCTTCAATTCTAATCATGTGATTGGATTCTTGCTGGACAAGTGTCCGCACGTTTTTCTGATATCCATTTGGGCTTTAGCCGGACAGGTGTCCGTCTTTCCATATCAATTCCGCTCAATTGGGTCCGGCCATGCCACTTGCGTCTTTACAACAAATTTTAGCACCGTTGATCATGGCCGAGTGTTTGCAAATACGGTTACAAGATCAAGTCGCGTCCCTGACATCCATTTTGGATGACACACCAACTGCTCATCGTCCCGTTCGGCTGGCCATTATCGACAGTTTGACTTATCTCGAAGCTGCCATTCATCAATTGCAATTCACCAAGTTAGTCCTGCATTTGTCCATCCTGCACCAGTTGCAACAGCACCTTCGAGTTCATCAGTCATCGCCAGCCATCGAAAATGTGGACGATAGTTCGGATCCCGAACCATGACCTAGCCATTCCGTCCGAGACGCGAGACAGAACTTGAAACGCAGAATACCCCGCGGTCAAAAGAAAGAGTTGTGAGCGCAGTTGCGTTGCATCAGCATGAACATGTTCACCCTACATCGATGCCAACAAAATAACATGGGTATATGTTTATATTCCCTTTTTAGGATTATATATATCCTACTGTTTGTACGCGCTATATGGAGTGTTCGTTCTAATACAGGAATTTTTCAACATAACTGTAAAACCCATTTAATCATGGGTTCGTTGATAGGTTATTTCCTGCATGCAAACATGCATCAATTTTTTTCCTTCGTTGTTCATTCACTGATTTGTGCATTGGTTCTTTCATGTCATTGATTTCAATTCGCTTTATGCCATTTCATTGAGGTTTCAAAAACCATGTGCTCATTCTTTTCTGCACATCGCAACTCCTGAATTTTTCTTTGCTTCTGCATCTCACAAACATTCCTATAAACCATTGATTTCATATCGCCATTGTTTTTTTTCGATATTTCCGCCCCGATTAGACATTCAATTGGGCTCAAGGATTTTTTCCTCTTTGGCAAAAACAATCCTTATGAAAACGGCTGGTTTTCAGGATGGCGAGGGAACCATCCAGTTCCACATCCAGTTCCACACCATGTGAAGCGACTTGAAACCCATGGTGACTTGGGATCCCCCTTTTGAGAAATCCCCAATGTCCATCCTTGTTGTTCAAGATGGCTCGGAAGCGCCGACACCCTTTTCCAACTAAACCTGGCTGACGGGGATATTTATCGATCTACCAAGCTCAGAATCTTCATGTGTGCTTGCCATGTTGATATTGATATTATCGTTTTGACTCCCATGCTGTTAGGTAGAATCCGCTTTTGCTGGTCAAAACTAGTTGAAAACCGTGATCATAATCTATATACCTGGGCATATGAGATCATATGAGTGCACAAATCCCCATATGGATGGTTGATTAGTTATAGTAATAGTACATGTGGTTGCCAAGAATCCCGTGGTTTATCATCATGTCCCCTATCAAAATGGAAATGGACTGGGTCTCTCCCATCTTCACACCCATATACAATACATTACAATACTATGTTTTTATATATGTCATGAATTGTCATGATATGTTCACGTGTTTTCCTTCAACCCTATTATAGAATCCGGATCAGCAAATCCAAGTAATCCCCTTTAAAATCATGATAATTATACAGTATACATATATAGTTATACTATAACCCCCTATAAAATCATCATTTACCCTCTGTTTCAGCCCGGTGCAACATATCATGGCGACCCCGCCTTTTTCGTCTCGACTGGTCGCAGGCCCAGTTCGTCCACACCAACCTTGCTGGGGAGGCGACCTGGCGACTGGTGATATGTTTGATAAATGATGCTTGATGTATTAAGATTAGAGCATACAGAAAGATGTGGAAAACCCATGAAAGCCCATGGTGAAAACCAATCGGAAAATGATATATATATATATGTATGTATACATTTTCATGATATGGGTTTTCCACAGTGAACTGTTGGTTTACAGGAGGGTAACCACTGAGATTTTATTTATCCTGAGAATTGTTCACTAATGATCTTTATTGATCACTTTGGGTGTTTAATGGTTTTGTTAATTAATCCCTCAGCCGCAACATTAGATAGAAGATGGGCATGGAAATCGCGTTATGTTAGGGGTAAATTGGGTAAATATCATCGAACCACCATCCCGGGAAAACTGTTGTGATGGTTTTGTATCGGTGCCAAGCTATATTGTTTCTCACGAAGTGGGTTCTGAAAATCAATCCTGGAGGAAAAGGGGCTGTAAAATTCATGGAGTAAACTGAGTAAACAAAGGTTGTTAGTCACTTCTTGAACATCACTAACCGGTCTTGAAATTTTCAAAACAATACTTTAAAAACGATAATTTACGTGTTTTTACAACGGAAATCAGGAAATCCGCTCCTACCCTCTAGGACTGATTGATTTTACTTCAAAATGTGTTGGTCAGATTGCCTCACGGACTGAATGTTATGGAACCTTGTGGAGGAAGGTTCAGAACCCAACTGAACATGACCCTAGTTTCGCATCCAAGGCAAGTCATGCTATCTATCCGTCAAACTCCACACAAAATAGAGCTGAATTGATACCCCCAAAACTGATTTTCTTTTGAATTGCTGTTGGGGAATGAAAGGGATGAACTATACATTGTACTAGTATATCCATATATTTCCTTTCATAACTATACATATACTATCAAGAAAACAAGAATGCAAAAAAAAGAAAAACAAGCCTCAGCCGCATCCAAGATTCTCGAACATCGACGCGCTATTCGCAGTTGTAACCTCCAACCATCTCCAAGACCGTGTTTGGAAATGCTGAAATCTGATCTTAAACATATCTTATGAAAATGAGACCATACTTGTAGATAAACATATTTTTAAAATGATCATAAACAAAGCAAGTATAGAACTTGATCATAACTCATAATCATATCTTATCGGTGGGGAATCTCAATCCATGGGATATGATATTATAATGATCCGTGACCATAATAAATGAATATAAATCATATGAAATACCAATGAATCATATCTGACCATGGAATATTGATTATACTCAATCAATATACTATAAAATAGACATATATATATATATACATATGATCACATATATATATATATAGATATAGATATACAATATATAGATTATACAAGTCTTATGAAATACCACCTGAATCACATTTGATCTAAAAAGGCAGCCTATTTTCGGAGCCAATATGCTGTCAGGTCTGCCACGGGTAAGCGACGAGGTCCTTCCGGGGCTGAAGATGGATTTCTTTCAGGAGAAAACCTCACGAAGTGATGGGAATATCTTTGGAAATCCAAAATTCTATGTATAGAATATATATATATATCTCACAAGATGATTATACGTGTATATTATATTATATCTCATGATACTGTGGATGCTTGCGAAATCCTGCACCAGTTCGTAGATGGTTTATCCCCCTATAATCCCATTAGTCAGCAAGTCCGACCCTTCGTCCGCGTCTTCCTCCTCTTCAGCCTTCACCGCATTTGTGCAGACACTTTGATGGTGATTATTTTTATCAAAAACCTATTTTTGCTGGTAAAAATGGATAGACATTTTTATATTTGGGGAAACATGCGAGTTTGGCACCACGCACGGAAATCCTTGGTGACAAACAACCACATGAATTGAACCCATAAAAATGACGCAGAAAACAAATATTTTTTTGTCCAGCAAGGATGGTAGTTTGTTTTGGGGGTTGTGTATACTCAGATTTACAATTTTTTGGGAGGTTATGGTGAACTGGACGATTCGCAGAATGACGTGATCAGCGACTGACTGCCCTTGCTGTGACTATCCTTTTCTCGCCAGTTTCAAACGATGATCCCGGAAGGAAATCATCAATCTTTGTGAGGTGGTTTCTTTTTCAAAAGGTTAAATTTTGCAACAAAAAAATATTGGTCCTTTTGGGATTGGTCCAAATGGTCGTACATTCCTGGTATCGTTATCACAATTTTTGGAGTCCTAAAATGCCAGGTAGGGTCTTTGATTTTGTGGGAAAACCATTCCCAAAGAGTCAAAATTGTTTGTGAAAATGTTTTCCAACCAAATCAAACAAGCGGATTTGGTTGCTTAATCTTCCTCATGGTCTTTAGTTTACAGCCCCATGATATCGTAAGGACTTCCCCCATGTGAAGGGTGGTTCTATCATCAAATCGTGTATATGTCCCAGTTTTTTCCCCCATTGATGGGCGGTTGGAGGTTGCCGGCTAACAATTGGAAACCATCTCACTGAGCAGCCTGCTAGAAATCGTGTCTCAAGATTTGAAATTCCAACATCAGTATTTTCTCATCAAAATTGTTATTTTATGTTATTTTGAGGCATCCCTGGTATCCCCCATTTCTGAAACAAACGATCAAATTTGCTCGCGCCTCGGCACCGAGGAATGTGAACAGTTTTATGTTCACGGATGAGGATTACCTTCACGCCTCAGGACGGTTAGCTTTGCCAAAAAACACAGTTAATTCCAATGTTAGCTGATAGCCATTCATCTCCGTATTTTAGTCAAAACAGGGCTAATTTTCCTATTGAATCATTGGGATCTGTATGGTTAAAGCATCCTTTTTCACTGATGCCCACGTCGACATTGTCAACATCCCAAAAATCATGAATTTTTAAGCCATTTAGAACTTAGAATGTTTAGAATAGATTTTCACTTATCGCCAGATGGAATTTTCGATGGTTTTCATCCATTTTTCAATTTTCTTAGGCCGGGCAGCAGATTCCCTGCTTGCCTCGGTGACGAGACCTGACCACGATGGTATCCACGCCGACACGCTGCCTCGGCTGCCAGAGGTGCTGACAAACCAAACTCCCAGGTTTTAAAGACATATGGTACTACTATGGTACAAAAATCTATGGATACATATGATGATTAATATGATTAATATGATTAATGGGATATGTGTCAATGATTGTAAATGATTGTAAATGATTGTAAATAATTGTAAATAATTGTAAATGATTGTAAATGATTGTAAATGATTGTAAATGATTGTAAATGATTGTAAATAATTGTAAATGATTGTAAATGATTGTAAATGATTGTAAATGATTGTAAATGATTGTAAATGATTGTAAATGATTGTAAATGATCCATATTTGGTGAAGGAGCAATCCATATGTTAAAAGAAAAACCATATGAAGCACTTGGGGGCCCATTGTGAAACACATTGGTACCCGATTTTGGGCAGCCAGGCCAATTGTCACATTTGACCATCTCCAGCCGTTGAGATAACAAGGAAGAATGGTCTATGTGAAGGCGATTTGAAACAATCCCCCGAATTCGGAGTCTACCAAGGCCTCTGAGTATCCCCAACGATTCATTCATTTTCTCCGGAAACAGTTTTCAAATGGTTTGAACAGTTTGTGGCATCTGTTTTACTCTCACAGCGCCTGCGAGGATATCAACTATGATCACGCTCAACATGGTTCAACACTTCTTGATGCAGCATGAATCATGTCATGGTTGACAGTGGAAAGTCTTAGATCATGGTGGATAGACTTGCTACCAGATAAGAGTATGTCACTACGATAGAGCCTAAAATAGACCTGTAACCAAAGCTTTCCACGCATTTGCCCCCTTTTCCATATTATCAAAAAAAAGTTCGTGATGGACTTGTGGTTCTGCCACAAGTGGTTGACAAGAATATTTACAGCAACTCCCCAATTCGGCTGATAAAACCCCACTGTTTTATGTTTTTTTTTTTTAAACCATGATATTTGAATCCCATGAAGTTATCTTCTTTAAGTTTTCTCGTGGTTATGGACGGCTGAATCCGCCGCAGGAAAGTGAGGAGTCGAGGGGATCTCTCCCGGTCCTGACCGGTCCACATGCTGCCGGCACTTGCCAACCTTGTGTTTTGTTTGCGGCGACAGTGGGGTGTCACAAAGGAGAGAGGTGTCAGTTCTGCCATATGCCACATGCTCCAGACGCACGCTCGGCGACTCGCGGTGTGCGCAAGCACACTCGTGATAGCATCAAGCAACGAGTGACTGTGCCAACAAGATAATGCGTGACCGTCCGCCAGTTTTGTCAGTACTTGTCGAAGATAATCACACAAAGAACATTATAGGAAGGGATGAGACTCTTATACCTGGGAAGTCAACGATAAGTATTTTCATATATATATATAATTATATACTATATAATATATATGTACTACTTGTACTACATGTACTACATGTACTATATATACAACAATACATACTATATATATACTATATATATACACTATATATATACTATATATATATACTATATATATATATACACTATATATATATACTATATATACTATATATATATACTATATATACAATATATACTATATATACTATATATATATATATCTACAATATATACAATATATACAATATATACTATATATATACTATATATATATACAATATATACTATATATATATACTATATATACACTATATATACTATATATACTATATATACTATATATACTATATATACTATATATACTATATATATACTATATATACTATATATACTATATATACTATATATAATATATATACTAATATGTGTACTATATATACTATATATAATTATATATATACTATATGTGCTGTGTATAATATATATACAATGTATAGTATATATAGCATATATACTATATATACTATATATACTATATATACTACATATACTATATATACTACATATACTATATATACAATATATACTATATATATACAATATATACTATATATACTATATATACTATATATACTATATATACTATATATATATACTATATATATACTATATATATACTATATATATACTATATATATATACTATATATATACTATATATATACTATATATAAACTATATATATACTATATATATACTATATATATATATACACTATATATATACTATATATATACTATATATAAACTATATATATACTATATATATACTATATATATATACACTATATATATACTATATATATACTATATATATACTATATATACTATATATATAAACTATATATATAAACTATATATATACTATATATGATATACTATATATACTCTAGACATATACTATACATAGTATATATATACTATGTATACTATATATACTATATATACAACATATTTACTATATATGTACACTAACTATATATATACACTATATATATATTATACTATATATATACTATATATACGATATATATATATATACTATATATATACTATATATATATACTCTATATATACTATATATATACTACATATATACTATATATATACACACTATATATATACACTATATATGTACTATATATATACTATATATATAGTATATATATACTATATATATACTATATATATACTGTATATATACTATATATATATACTATATATATATACACTATATATGCTCTATATGCTATATATACTATATATACTATATATACTATATATACTATATCTACTATATATACTATATATACTATATATACTGTATATACTGTATATACTGTATATACACTATATACTATATAGTATATATATATATATATACTATATATACTATATATACTATATATACTATATATACTATATATACTATATATACTATATATACTATATATACTATATATACTATATATACTATATATACTATATATACTATATATACTATATATACTATATATACTATATATACTATATATACTATATATACTATATATACTATATATACTATATATATATACTATATATATACTATATATATACTATATATATACTATATATATACACACTATATATATATATTTACACTATATATATATACACTATCTATACACTATATATATTATATATATACTATATATACTATATATACTATATATACTATATATACTATATATATACTATATATACTATATATACTATATATACTATATATATACTATATATACTATATATACTATATATACTATATATAATACTATATATAATACTATATATAATACTATATATAATACTATATATAATACTATATATAATACTATATATAATACTATATATAATACTATATATAATACTATATATACTATATATACTATATATACTATATATACTATATATACTATATATATATTATATATATGCTATATATACTATATACATACTATACATATACTATATATACATATATATTCTATATACTATATATATATACTATATATATATATATTCCATATATATATATACTATGTATATACAATATATACAATATATACAATATATACTATATATACTATATATACTATATATACTATATATACTATGTATAGTATATATAGTATATATACTATATATGCTATGTATAGTATATAGAGTATATATATATACTATATATACTATATATACTATATATACTATATATACTATATATACTATATATACTATATATACTATATATACTATATATACTATATATACTCTATATACTATATATACTATATATACTATATATATACTATATATATATACTATATATATATATACTATATATATACTATATATATACTATATATATACTATATATATATACTATATATACATACTATATATACTATATATACTATATATACTATATATACTATATATACTATATATACTATATATACTATATATACTATATATACTATATATACTATATATACTATATATATACTATATATACTATATATACTATATATACTATATATACTATATATACTATATATACTATATATATATATACTATATATACTATATATACTATATATACTATATATACTATATATACTATATATATATATACTATATATACTATATATACTATATATACTATATATACTATATATACTATATATACTATATATACTATATATATACTATATATAGGCTCGTCCCAAGTCCTGGAACTACATACGATGGGGTGGGGGGATGGGGTGGGATGTTAACGTTCATATGAACTTGCAGCAGCAGTTGATGCTACGCACACGCGGGGTGGGGTGGGATGTTAACGTTCATGTGAACTTGCAGATGATGATGCTACTAATGCTGATGATGATGATGATGATGTGATGATGATGATGATGACCCTAATGAAACTTGTCAATTCCGCGACGAAATTCGTCACGGAATTGACAAGTTTTACCAACCTAATTCGGGTTTGCTCAGTTCTAGGATCTGGGACGAGGCTGTATCGTTGAATGACTTCAATTCAAATGATGCCGTTGTAACCATTTCAAGTCTCAAAGAGGGATGAAGGGTTCTCCCATGGATGCCCAGCTTGTGGTTGGTCTGGCTGGCCTGGTAGTAGGCTGGGTTCTGAGGGATCAGTCCATTCCTGTGTCTGTCCCAGCCCCTTGCCATTGCCGTTGCGAGTGTATCACATCGAGCAGTGGCCTGAATATTGCTGGGTTGATCTTTGGCCTGATCTTGGCGAGTCTTGGAGTTGTATTCCTGTGGAAGGGGCAGATTGGAGCTGTTTCTCCCCCAACTCCGACCAAAGGAGGTAAGGGAGTCTACGGTGGGATTGGCAAGGCTGTATCCATTGGTTGATCATGAACACCGGAGACATTGCCCTGGTGAACTACGGGGAACGCCCGGTCACATGGCACACCAGAATTTTGATGAGCCATGTGTGCCAAGATTTTTGGATTATCTTGACTCCCAACATGGACTATTATGAAGAACAGATGTCTTTGTCCAATACGTAGATTTTCGGTTTTTGGGCGCTGGAGCACCGATTCCTCCAGACATCAACCCCATGACGGTTTATGGTTTTGGAGCAGTTGATCCCTTGACTATGGCTAGATTGAGGGCACAAGCCGATGCTATGGCCGTGGGAGCTAGAGCTCTTCACCCTGCTCCTCCTCCAGTCCCAGGGCCAGTAGTGGCGCCTCCACCTTTGCCAGCTCCACCGCCAGGTGTGCCAGGTGTTGCAATGGCTTGGGGTCCCTGATACCTGGGTTGTGATGGAAGATGGAGAGGCTCACAAGAAGGGAGATGTAGTTGCAGTTGACCCGAGTCCCTTGCCTGCTGGGCACATTGCCTTGGGAAACCGTGCTATTCTTCCATCGGGCAACAAGCATGTGGCTCTGCAGAAGGTTCCAGCTGCAGATGCTCCTAGTCTAAAATTGGAGGACATCCGCATCCTTCCTGTTCAATTTGATGCTCAAGGGACGCGGCGGAGAGAATTCAACATTGCTGTGGCGTCATTTGTGGACACGATTCCCCAGGGTGGTGGACTTCAGCTGCAAGGGCCCACATCAATTCTCAACATAGTGAAGATGATGCGCGATCAGAATTTCACCCCGACGACTTTCCATGAGCATTGGGTTAGAACTGCAGACGTCGCAAAAGGGGACCGCTCAGTGTATGAGCAGGAGTGTTTGTCAAGGATTCTCGAGTCCATGATCACCATCGACCAGATCAATGTGCCCTGCTTGCAAAGCGCAGAACTGTTAGTTCGCAGGATGCAGGTCATCCGTGAGGCCCATAGAATCTCACCGGGCTCACCGGACTACTCGTCAGCTGATGTGATGATGGGCTGGAAATACCGTAGGTCAGGTCAAGGTGTTGACTCTGAGCTAGCAGCACACGTTGCTCAGGAACTGAAGAATGAGGCCATGATTGCTAAGGAATCAAGGAAAGCGAGAGAGGAGCAAGACGCCCGCCCCCGCAATGCCCGGAACAACAACAAGAAGAAGGTCAACGATGGTGGCGGGGGAGACCAGTAAGGTCAAGATGGTGGATGGCGTTTGGGCCAGGCCACCCACCTGTTTTTTCCAGGCCCAAGCAGCAGGTGATGCATTTGGCATTGCTGCCAGTCCGAGGGAAATGGCGAAGAGTGGCAATTTTGTTTTTGATGGGAGCGATAGGCATAGAGGCCTTTTTCCTCTCCCTCTCCTTCTCTGCAGACATCATCAGCACGATCATCCCAGTTCATCCCAGAGGAGAAGACTGGCAAGATTCAATCGGAAAGTTGCTGCGGTGAATGAGATCATTGGATCACTCAACCACTTGTATGTCCCGTCCTCGGTTAATTCAAGTCTTCCACTATCCCCAACTGCTTCACAGAGGGCTGCTCAGACTGAACTGTTGAGACAAGTGGATGCAACTGGTTTTAGGATCCCCAAGTACAGTTGGCGTGAGGCGACAAGAACGGTTCTGCAAAACAGCCTCAGCTATATATGATGAGGCGGTGGACACAACTGTTCGTCCCTACCAACCAGACCTGGTCTCTCTGCCACAGGTTGGTGCTGATCCACCCCAACTTGTTGACCTGGTGGATGACTATGGTCGTGAGATTTTGGAGGACTCTCTGGGACACATGATGCTTAGCGAAGATGAATGGGGGGAGATGCTCGAGAAGGGACCCCGCATCACACCCTACATGGATGTGATCTTGAAGAGCAATGCAGAACAGTATATCGAGTTTGTGCATCGTTTGTTTCAAGGTGGCATGATCAATTTCATTGACCGTCCGCAGGACCTGGCTTGCCCGTTTTTCGTGCCCAAGAAGAACAAGAGGCTCAGGTTGGTCCTAGATTGCCGGAGTGTCAATGAACGTTTTCAACCTCCACCAAACCTCTTAATGGCTGCAGGCGCCACTTGGGCCAATCTGGAGTTGCCAGAGGAGGCCACCATGTTCGTTGCCCAGAGCGACATTCGTGACTATTTCTATTCCTTAGGTCTTCCTGAAGAGCTACAACCATTCTTTGCACTCCCTGCCATACCTGTTGAGGCCATGGCGACCTGGGGGTGAGCGACAAGCACTGGAATCGTTCTGCGAAGAGGCCTGATATCTCCATGTTTTCGGGTAGTACCAATGGGGTGGAGTTGGGCGATGTATTGGGCCCAAAGGGTACACCAACACCAGGCACTCATTGGGTCTGGCCTGAGCCAGGACCGACTTCTGGTGTCTGACCGGGTGCCGCCCTCACTAGATGGAGGCGAGCCATTCATCATTGCGTACGCAAACAATTTGAATGTTGGAGGTTTAAATCAAGAAAAGGTTCAGCGCGCGAAAGATGGCGCAGTGCAACGGCTCAGGTCTTCGGGCTTTGGCGTTCATGAGGAAGTGGATGCCAACACCCTTGTCGAGTCCTTGGGCTTTCAAATTGATGGCGTCCAAGGGCTGGTCACACCCATACCCCACAAGTTGGGGCTAGTGATTGCTGCCTTCAGGTATTTGAGCTCACGGCCGCGCATCAATGGGAAAGGCGTGGAGAAACTGATTGGTCATGCTGTACACTTCATGTTACTGAGGAGGGAGCTTTTGTGTTGCATGCGCAGTCTCTATGATTTTGTGCAGCACTCATACTGGAACAGGTCTAGACTTTGGAAGTCAGCTGCATCTGAAGCCCGGGTCATAGCTAGCTTGCTTAGCGTTTGTTTTGCAAATCTCAAACGACCCTGGTGCACGACGGTTTCTTGTTCTGATGCATCTCTTAGTGGTATTGCTGTTAGCTCACGTGTTGCAGACATGCAGACCATCAAAGACATTGCTCAGCAGCGGGAGGGTTGGCGTTTCAAGCACAGAGACTTCACAGCTCCGCGTGTGAATGCAGACGTTGACACAAAAGTGAAGAAGCCTGACCCCTTCAGCGATGTCAGCACAGTCAAGCCAATTTATGTTTTGCCACGGGATCCCTTTATGATTGATGAGGCATTTGTTGAAGTTCCTGATGATTTCATGGATGAGTCACATTGGCATGTTGATTTTGCTTGCTACATGGAAATTGCGGAGGCAATCACCGTTTTGGAGTCTAGAGGGGTGGTAGCGGCTTTTCGTAGGAGGGCTAGGGCGTTGCAACTTCGGCAAGAAGATACTTCACCTCAATGACAATCTGGCCAACATTCTTGGCTTAGAAAAGGGTAGATCTAGCTCGTTTTGTGTGCTCTGGCCATTGCGCTGAACGCTGCGTTTTTTCACCGCTGGATTCCAAGCGAAAAGAACGTGTCAGATAATGCTTCGAGGCGCTGGGAGCATATCCGCCGACAACAGGTCAAAGACCAAAGGCAGGAAGAGAAGACAATCCTCTCCTCCTACGGACCCTGGCCTAGCCGGAAAGGAGGTAGCAATGCTGAGAGGCAAGTCAGTGAAGACACAGCCATCTCTCGGGATGAGGCGCTTTCTGATCAGGAAATCCACCCAGGGTCACAACAAAGAAGACAAAGCCGCCAAGAGGAAGAGGCTGATTCAAGCCACGAAGATGGAGAGGTTTCCAAATCAGTCTTTTCTGGAACAGGTGGCTGTATCACACGAAGTAGCTCTGGATTATCAAAGACGGATGAGGGCCTTCATGAACTTTGTGAATCTCCTAGGGTTGGTTGCCAATACCCCAGCGAAATTAGACGAGTGCTTGACAGAGTATCTCAACTACATGTTCGAGGAAGGTTGCGACATATCAGAAGGAAGCAAAACCCTCGTGGCCGTGTTAGACAACCGCCCCGAATGTTCCCACAAGACCATGATGACAAGATCCAGAAGAGGCTTGCGTGGCTTGACAAACATGGACCCGGGATCAACAAGACCCCCAATTCCTTTTGCTTTGATCGCCCTGATTGCGAGCAGGTTGATGCAACAACGCCTGAACGAGTCAGCGCTGGCCATCCTGCTGGTGTTTTCTGCATAACTTCGTCCAGGCGAGGCGCTGGGAATTCAATCTCAGGATGTGGTGCTGCCGTCAAGGGCGGTGAAATATTATGCCATCAACCTGCATCCCATGGAGCGACTGGAGACCAGCAAAACGGGACTCAGCGACGAGTCCATTCTGCTAGATTCTCCAGTAGTTCCTCAGTTAGGGCCAATGTTGGGAAGACTCAAACGGAATGTGAAAATGGGTCCATTGTTTTCCAGCAACTATGCCATGCTGAATCAGCACTGGAAGGACACCTTCAAAAACCTAGGGATGCAAAAGAGTTCAGCAGTACTGTATCAGCTCCGCCACTCAGGTCCATCTCACGACCGACTGCACAAACTCAGGAGCACTTTGGAAGTCAAATTGCGAGGGCGGTGGGAGTCGGACTCCTCAGTAAAGAGGTACGAGGCTCACAGCAAACTGGCTTTGGAATTTCAGAATTTACCATTGGAAGTTTAACACTTGGCACTGCAAGCAGAAGGGAGTGGACCAAATGATGCAAAGATCTCGATTCCCCAGGGCATAGATGACATGACCCGTTGGGTGGTCGAAGTCTTTGCTAGATGTCAGAATCTGTCCAGAGCATGTGCCCAACAAGGTTTTGCCACGATGTCCATCGATATTAAGTTTGGCCCAGGATGTGATATCCTTCGTGATTGCACGAGCTGCTTGGCTTCCTCAAGTCAAACTGTTGCGTCTTGGTGTGGCTTGGCATGCCCTGTACAACATGGTCTAGGGCCCGAAAGTTTGACTGTTTAGGGCCTCCTCCGTTAAGAGGTGATAATGACCATTTGTGGGGTAGACCCAATCTCTCCAAAAAAGACCAACTGAAAGTTGTTGAAGGCAATCAATTGCTCTTGGTTACTTTGGCTATTCTAAATTTCTGCACTTGGGTTTTGGAAAACCCCTGGACCTCCAGAGCTTGGCTCACTCGGCCACTTCAGCATCTGCAGCGCATTGCTTCCCTGATGAAAGTCGATTACTGTCAGTTTGGCATGCCGTGGCGGAAAGCAACCGGCCTTCTTGTGCTTCCAGCCGAATGGCTTCGGCCTGCTCTGAAGATTTGTTCGCCAAAGAATCAGCGATGCTCGGCATCAGGTAGGAAGCACACTGTGTTACAGGGCACTGACACCAGCGGCCAATTTCTAACCCTTAGGGCTCAGCCGTATCCTGTAAAGTTGTGTCGTGCCATTGCATGTGCTTTAAAGAGCAAAGTTTCTTGAACTTGGATTTGGGTGGCATTTCAATTCATCAAGTTTCAGTGTCATGCAAGTTCCATCCTGCCTTGACAAAACATGTCACCAATGGCAGATGTGAATCTGTTTCAGATGTACGAACTTCCATCGACAGTATGCCATTTTGCCCATGCAGAAAATGCGAGCCCTGGCACAGAGCGAAGGTGTCATATATATACTATATACTATATATATATATACATACTATATATATACTATAAATATATATTATATATACTATATATACTATGTATACTATATGTACTATATTTACTATATATAGTGTATATATATGTATATATACACTATATACACTATATATACACTATATACACAATATATATACTATATAGACTATAAATACTATATATACTATATATACTATATATACTATATATACTATATATACTATATATACTATATATACTATATATACTATATACACTATATATACTATATATATGCTATATATATATGCTATATATATATATATACTATATATGCTATATATATATACACTATATATGCTATATATATACTATATATATATATATACTATATATACTATATATATACTATATATACTATATATATATACTATATATATCCTACATATACTATATATACTATATATCCTACATATGCTATATATACTATATATACTATATATATAGGCTCGTCCCTGCTCCTGGAACCACATACGATGGGGTGGGGGGGTGGGGTGGGATGTTAATGTCATGTGAATTAACGTGGGATGTTAATGTTCATGTGAATTAGCGTTCATGTGAACCTGCAGAAGCAGTTGATGCTACGCACACGCGGGGTGGGGGGGTGGGGTGGGTATGTTAACGTTCATGTGAACTTGCAGAAGTAGTTTGATGACTCAACGCGGGGTTGGGGGTGTGGGGTGGGATGTTAACGTTCATGTGAACTTGCAGAAGTAGTTTGATGCTACGCACACTGGGGGGGGGGGGTGGGGGTGGGGTGAGATGTTAACGTTCATGTGAGCTTGCAGATGCAAGTGATTCTACGCACACGGGTGGGGGGGGGGTGGGGTGGGATGTTAAACGGTGAACTTGCAGAAGTAGTTGATGCTACGCACACGCGGGGTGGGGGGGGTGGGGTGGGATGTTAACGTTCATGTGAACTTGCAGAAGCGGTTGATGCTACGCACACCAGGGCTGGGACAATATATATGTATATATATATATATATGCAATATATTTACAGAGATTTTTGGGATATTTATACATATTCAGCAGTTTCTAATTGATGTATATATATATATTAATATGTTAATTTACATATGTGTATGTATGTGCATCGGTACGACAATGTTTGTATCTATCTGTATACTTGGTTCGTTTCACCGAAGTAGGTAGCATAGTAGGTGATTGCTGATGGTGCCATAGCCTATGATGCCAAACCTGCTGACATGGACATCCGCAAAGACAGTGTGAACCATGGTTGTCGCAATGGTGGACCGTACTACACCAAGAAAGCGACCCACAAGCATCTGAAAGGACAGCCAGTTGGTAAAAACAAGAATGCAACCGTGGCCGGCACGCAGAGTTTAGATGGTTGGTGGAAATCACCGAAAATGAATTTGCGAGGTGTGAAATCCTCCTGTGAAGATGCAGTGGATGCCCGCGTGGCGCAAAGCCAATGGCATCACTGGATTGGCGACAAGGACCCCTGGAAGACGCAGGGAGAGGTCCTCAAAGCTGTGCGAGACTTGCAGCTGCTGTGAAGAGACAGAAAAACAAAACTAGTCTCACATGTTCATGTTCATACTAATGCTGATGATGAATGATGATGATGATGATGATGATGTGATGATGATGATGATGATGCTGATGATGCTGATGATGATGATGTGATGATGATGATGATGATGATGACCCTAATGAAACTTGTCAATTCCGCGACTAAATTTCGTCACGGAATGGACAAGTTTTACCAACCTAATTCAGGTTTGCGCGGTTCCAAGAGCAGGGACGAGGCTATATATACTATATATACCATATATACATATATACCATATATATATACTATATATATACTATATATACCATATATATATACTATATATATACTATATATATATATATACTATATATATACTATATATATACTATATATATACTATATATACTATACATATACTATATATATATACTATATATACTATATATATACTATATATACTATATATACTATACATACTATATATACTATATATACTATATATACTATATATACTATCTATACTATCTATACTATCTATACTATCTATACTATATATACTATATATACTATATATACTATATATACTATATATACTATATATACTATATATACTATATATACTATATATACTATATATACTATATATACTATATATACTATATATACTATATATACTATGTACAGTATATATAGTATATATATATATACTATATATGCTATGTATAGCATATAGAGTATATATATATATACACTATATATAGTATATATAGTATATATACTATATATACTATATTTATACTATATTTATACTATATATACTATATATAATATATATTATATATACTATATATATACTACATATACTATATATACTATATATACTATATATACTATATATACTATATATACACTATATATATATATACTATATATACTATATATATACTATATATATATACACTATATATATCTACTATATATATACTATATATACACACTATATATACACTATATATATATATTATATACTATATTATACTATATACATACTATATATAAACACTATATATATATGATAAATATATATATATATGATAAATATATATATATGATAAATATATATATATGATATATATGATAAATATATATATGATATATATATATACTATATATATATACTATATATATATATATATACACACTATATATACTATACATATACTATATATACTATAGATACTCTAAATTCACCTGCCAATCTGCGGTTCAAATTCGCCAACGTTGGTAACTAACTTGGGTGCCGCATCATTGGTTTGTGGTGAGAGGTTAGCAGGTCCTGCTTGGTCTGATTTGGTTATGACATGTTATGAAGCTTAAGATCTCCAATCAGTCACTTTTCCACAAGATCACTGATTGACTGGCTAGTGACTAGTCACTTTCTTTGGGTCCCTGGTGGAATGATATGGTAGCACCGCTAAAACGTCCTGAGGTCTTGGGGCTCCTGCGACCCCCTGTTGATTTGGACGCGATCCACTCAGACCTACAAGGGGAAGCTGATCGGCACCCCTTTGGCAGAAAGTTGATCATCAAGTTATTGCAGGAAACTCCAGAAGAATATCGGCATTATCGTCACCTTGAGCAGGTTGAAAACCGATCAAAAGCTTCTTCTGCAGGAATTTAGGTGGTTTTGGACTTTTGAATATTTTGAACCAGATGGTATGATGTAGAACCCCAGTTTTTCGGACATGAAACAACAACGACAGGCGCCATGCCCAAGGGAAACGAACAAAACCATGCCATTTTTACTCTCCGCTTCGGATCCGTTTCGAAAAAATGGTCAGGGGATAATCATCTGGATGACCCCGACCACAGGATCCACAGGATCAGGGAGAATCAGTAGGCCCCCAAATAGCCCTAAGCGTACCATGAGTCTTGGATGTCTTGAATGCCGGATCCTAAAGGTCTCATGACTCAAGGCGTACAGAAATGTGTACTTTAAGCCACATTTCTGTGACAAGAAACTATGGCTATTTGAACTGTTTTGCTTTTGTTTGTTTCGCATCAAGACATGTCAGACATCCATTCCATGATCTTTGACATCCATTCCATAATGATCTTGGTCGCGGCAGGTAGCAGCGCGCGGTGGGACTTTTTCAAAGGGAACACAATTTTGATATCTTCGGATGTTGTCTCATGTTCTCTCAATTTTCTATCCATTGATGTGTGACCCAACTTTGAGAGACATCTCTATACGAGCATCTAATTTGTGTACTTTATTGACACTGTCTGACCCGCTGTTACTTCGCTCCCCTGGAACCTGCGTGTTCTACTACTGATTCTACTCAGCTCCAGAGTTGTCCACGGATCAAGGAATGGTGGTTTTGTGCTTGGGGGCCTTGGTGCTTTGGAATTCCGGGATTCGGAATTCAAAAGACATATCTTTCGTTTTCAGGAGGACCCAGCTGTAAATGATTGAAAACCCCTACAGTTGGCCATTGGCCAAATGTTGGAATTCGCGGCAGCGCGAATTTGACAAAGACCAATGGATCCTCGATGGATCCACACCGGCCACAGCCCGAAAATGTGATCATTTGCTGACCTAAAATCCTACCCCAAGTGGTTGCAGGTTTCATTGGATTTTCGTTGATGATCCTGCATCAGGGTCACTGGTACGACTTCAGGTTGTCTTGGACTACCAAGGTGCTGCTCAAGGAAATTGCCCTTTACATAGCTTGGATAGCTGGTTTTCCTAGCACTTCTCAACAATGTAAAGCTTTGAAGTGTATCCAAGCGTAGCCGTGAGAGCGCAAGCTACGTTTGCTTTGTGGCGGACATCTATCCGGATTGATGCCAATCAACGGATTTTACAATGATCAATTGTCTTCATCTTTCAGGTAGATGGCCATCCGATTGTCGACTGCATTGATCTCACGGAAAGGGTGTTTCCACTTTGGAAACACATTTCTTTATTTTTCCCAAACATAGAAACCACATCTTCCCTTAAGAAGTAGACTCAGTAGACAAGTTGAGAACCGTTGGGGGTTATCCATGGTTATCCCCAGGCCTCGACCATATCATCTCCCCAGTATGACTCCTGCTACGGGCGTTCGCCATGGTCTCGTGCCGATACGGGCAGTGCCTCCGCCGGACGCTGCTGCTGGCGAGTGTCGGCCGCTCGGAACACCGATTTTTTTTGCTTGCGATTGCTCATAGGATTATACCTTACAGCAACCCCAACATTTACCACTGATTTTGACAGAGTTGACTTTTCTTGAGAGTAATGGGATTCAAAAACTGGACACATGGGTGAAGCTGCGCCATTGGATGGGAGATTAAACTGTTCAACCAAGGTTGACTCGTATTCATATCAGGATGTAGTATGACACGCCATCTTAAACTTGTATATTTTGTGATATTATTTTTTGGATAACCAGACCCAAGTAGATAATACACGCTTAATCGAGATGTCCATGATTATTAACATGCATGTGTAGATGTTGTCATGGGGCAATAGAATTTAAGTTCAAACATGGGGGGGAATCAACCAATAGCTATTGAAAATGGAGTATGTTCACGCGGCAATACCAACGAGATGGATCTGATGCTGGTGATTCTATGGGTGTCTATATTTGGTTCGACGGAAATCCTGATCATTGAGGATATTGATCCCCGTCAACGGAAGCACCAGTAGAATCAGGAATCCTCACCGGCAGATTGAGGCTTTTGCATACACTACCTGGTTCTTCTGTCAGAGCAACCTGCAGAGTTCAAGTGCCTTCTCTTTGATAGGGGTCACCATTGGATAAACATTGTCAATTTCTCATACAGACATCATCCAATCCAGTTGAGGGCCTGGCATTTCACGAGGCATGAAACCTATATGGAGGGCGTTTTCTGTGTTTTTTTGTTGTGTTGGTTTTCCACTCTCGCTTCTTGGCTCTTGTTGCTGATTGTGCAGACACAGAGTAAAACATCAGTTAGAAAGAATAAGACAATTAGAAGAACAATAAAAGGGTCTTTAGAAAGACACGATCCGATAATAGAATTTATAGGAACGCTATGATAACACTGAATGAAACTATTTACACCAAAAGGCTTGTGCCCCAACCTACAATCTACATGTTCACAAGGTGCATGCTGTCTTTACATACACTCTGAGCACTTTATTCAACCTACAACACTACATGTTAATTGGCATTGTCATTCTGTTTTTGGGGGAGGCGCTGCGCCCTGAGCCCTCCCCCAATCCCCGCCTTCCGCTTTTTTATTTGAATCCAAGCTTGCACACTTGTAAACACACTACTCTACATACGTATATCTGTATAATTCTGTACATATATATATATATATGTATATATACAAATACACAAACGTAAAAACGTATGTATATGTATATGTATATGTATGTATATATATATATATGTACATACACATTTTTGTATATTAACATATACACATATTGGTAGTAATTTATACACACACATTGTATCCCATGTGCCAGATGTACCATGTACACGCTGTGCTAAATGCCGTGCATCACGCACTTTTAAGTGTGCGTATTTCCAACACCTGCAGTATGAACACTATGTGCTCTCTACCATTTTGCTGATGGAGGGTGCTGCACCAAGGGAAACGTCAACACAAACAACAGCAACAACATTCACAAGACAACCAACAAAGTTCGTGAACCCGTTAATCACCCCAAATACAAGAAAACCAGGAAACAACAAGGGCAACAACGGCAACGGCAACGGCAACAGCAACGGCAGCAGCAGCAACAGCAGCAACAGCAACAACAACAGCAACCACAACAACAACAACAACAACAACACGGAAAGAAAAAACGAAAGGCATAAACACAACGAACGATTTGAAAAACAACAAAGAATAAGACAACAAATGAAAATATCAAACATAGTTCCGAGTTGCTGCAAATACCAAATAGCTTTAACATGTTGCAAATTGCACGCACATGAATGAGAGATTGAGAGATTTTGGCTGCAGCATGCTGCTAGTAGTGTGCAAATCAAAGATTGCGGCTTCATCATAATGCTGCCTCCAAGATGCTGCATTTTTTCTGCCAACAAGAAATAGAAAATACTGTCCAAATAAGGGATTTTAGCTCCAACATGCTGCAAATAATGTTCCAATGAGAGGTTTTATCTCCAAAATGCAGCAGATGACATGTTTTTGCTTCAAAATGCAGCAAATAGCAAGGAAAACTGCCCCAGACTGAAAAACAAAAAAACATCTAAAAAATCAGCAAAAACATCTGCATCGGGTGATATGATGACTCCAAAGTCAAGTGCATCAAGTTCAACCCTTTCAGAAAATGCAGGCAAATCATAGGAAATCATTGTCATTTCCCCAAGGGCAGAGAGGTTGCCCTTCTTGTGAGTTGCAACCAACTCTGGTCGAAGTGCCCATAGCCGGCATAGCCGCCATGGCCGCCATAGCCTGGCTGCCGAGGCCTTCCCGCACTTTGGAGCTCCAAGTGAGCAGCCAAGTGGAATCAGACCTTCCTGCAGTCACTGCAGAGACTGTGGCTACAGGGGCCCCAGAAACCACTCAAGCCACGGAAACGCGTGCGCCGCGTGCGCCGCGTGCGCTTCCTGTCCGTGCTCCGGTGTCCTTGCGGAACAAGAACTTGATTCTGGCGGGGGATTCCAATGACCAGCGATTCTTTCAGGCGCTCTGCAGGACAGAGCCAGGGCAGGGCAGGCAGGGGCGATTGGGCGGAGTGACGAGCGAAGTACCCAGTTTACCAATGATGGAATACCAAAAAATCGGGGTTGAGAGTTGCCAAGCAGCAAGTCAAGTGAGTCCTCGTGGTAAGCAATGGGGTCAAACAACCTGTGCAGGAATTTGACTGGTATCTTTGATGCTTGGAGAGAATGGGAGATTCGGGCAGATTTGGGTCCACGTCACAAAGGGTGGATTGGTTACCTTGTATGACCCCTGTGGGGTCGTTTTGGGACCTCAATTGGCACACCCTCTCCGTCTGCGAGCTGAGGATCCCTTCAAATACATCAAGCAGGTCCAGATCCCCCGCAACGGCAGCAACAGCGGCAACATCAGCCGGGTGCGCTGGCCCGAGGCCTCGAAAGTTGGGCTCTGTCATGACATTCAAAGGCAACTTGGCATGAAATGGGAGGAGTCGGATTGTACGCAGTGAATCACCAGCAAAAATCATTGGGGATGTCCTGCGCCTGTGGGTTTTGACGGTCCTGAACCACTTGCTGATTGGGATGCACCCTATCTATTTCACACTGCGTGGAGCACCCTACAACTGGGACCCATGTCTATGACTGGAACCTGTTTTGCCCATCCTCAGAACCGTCAGAGATTGACCCAGGAATGCCAGCGTGCTATTCTTGTTTCACTTTGGTCTCTTCAGCCTGCATCCGCAACCTGCCTGGTACCGCACCTATGCGCAGAGGAGGGCAGCAACCCACCTGCCAGCCATTGAGCCCCGGGGGCCCCGCCCAAAATGGGCGCCAGGTGCACTGCCCAGCACCGACCTCGCGCGCTGGGTGTGGCCGGAAGTGGCTTCGCAGCACTTGCCAGCGAGGCCCATCATCCTCTTGGCGTCTTGGCGACGGTTCTGGCTGGCTGCAACGTGGCAATGGTGAATATCGTCATTATTAAAGGGAACATTAAGGGGCTACGCCCCCTGCCGCCGACCCCTGGGAGAGAGGGGGAGTTGACACATACGTCACTTCCGGAACCTACAAGAAAACTATATGGGTACGAGTCAAAATACAAGGTATGGATCAAGGCGCCAAAGCTACACACGATCCATACCCCCCGATCCATACTTTGATCCATACCCTTGATCCATACCCCAGATCCATACCCCTTTCTCGTTGAAGAAAGACTGATGCTGGCCTTAACGATGCTTTTTATCCTAATATATACTGCTTCTGGTCGTCGTACTGCTACTCCCATCGCTACTACCGTTGCTTCTACTGCTGCCTCCACTGCCTCCGCTGCTGCTGCCGCCGCCACTACTAGTGATTATCCTCCCAGGAGCTGCTGCTACTGCTCCTGCTGGTCGTGCTCTCGCTGCTGGTGCTGGCTCACGTTCTCCGTGTGCTTCGGTTGTTGGACAAATGTAACTAGTTGACTAGCTACTCGCAATATTGCAAGTGCACCTTGGAGGCTTGTAAGACCGGTTCTACTTCCACTAGGTGCTTATTGTACTTCTAGTGGTGCTATGACTACAAGTCCTTCTGTTTCTACTTTGCCTGGCAGGTGTAGAACTAAAAAAGCATGGTGTCCTGATCCATACCCCGATCCAGACCCGTTCCATGCCTGGTCCATATCCGAACCCAGTCACGCCACAACAAGTGCCAATATGAAAGTCCGAATCTGTTACTACTTCTGCTGCTGCTTCTTGCGCTACTTGTGCTTCTACTTCTACTTCTGCTTGTACTTCTACTTCTACTTTTGCTGCTACTACTACTACTACTACTGCTGCTGCTGCTACTATTACTACTACTCCATTAGATTATTTTACTGTTATTACTTTGACTCTTACTAGTACTACTGTTACTGCTACTGCTATTTCTACTGCTACTGCAGCTCCTCCTTGTATTGCCGCTACTGCTGCTGGTGTTGTTTTTTTTTACTGCTCCCTCTACTAGCAGTGGCAACAGTTTTAGCAGCAACAGTAGCAGGAGGAGAAGTAATAGCAGGTAGGAGAGAGTAGGAGTATCAGCACAGTTTGTATGCTATGATGAGCGCTTACGAAAGGGTACGGAGCAGGTACCTTATGTAACCACTCCCGATCCATAGTTCGGATCACCGCGGAGCAATCCATACCCGATTATTGACTCGCACCCATATAGCTGTCTAGCTGTCTTCCAGCCGCCCAGCCCAGAAACGGCTCCTCCGCCACACCGAAACAGCAGGGCTCTGAGGCCTCTTCTGCTATAGCTTCCACGTGTCCTTCGTTCTTACTTCTTGCCTCTTGTTGAGTCCTCGTCGACACTCGTTGCTTGTCGACACTTGTTGCTTGTAATCTCTTCTCTGACGCGCTCCCGCTGCCGTCGGCAGGGGTCGGCGGGTTACATATTATTGTTATTGTATTTATAATTACATATATATATAATATATATATGATATATGTATATATGATATATGTATATTGCAACTTTGGACTATCTCAACCATCTGGCCAAATCTCGGCTCAACTTGGCTTGGCTTAGCCTCACTGCCAGCATCTATCTTCCCGAGTCCAAAGTGTTTTTGGCCGACATCCGTCGGCATCATGCGCTTCTGGAGCTTCTTAGTTGAATTGACCGGGCCTGCGGGCCACGGCCGCCACGACCTGTCTTCCAGCCGGCAAGGCTCACACAGGGCGCGCTCGCCACACCGAAACAGCAGGGCCCTGAGGGACGGACGGGGCCTGCGGGCCACGGCCCCCACTGCCTAACGTTGCTTTCTGACCCTACAAGAAAACTAGCTGTCTGACCTAAAACGGCGCCTCCGCCACAGCCAAACAGCAAGGCCCTGAGGGACGGACCGGGCCTACGGGCCACGGCCCCCAGTGCCGAACGTTGCTTTCTGCACCTGCAAGAAAACTAACTCTCTTAGCTGTCTTCCAGCCGCCAAGGCTCAAACACGGCGCGCTCGCCACACCGAAACAGCAGGGCCCTGAGGGACGGACCGGGCCTGCGGGCCACGGCCCCCACTGCCTAACGTTGCTTTCTGAACCTACAAGAAAGCTAGCTGTCTGACCTGTCTTCCAGCCGCCAAAGCTCACACACGGCGCGATTGCCACGCCAAAACAGCATGCTGGGTCCTGAGGGACGGACCTGGCCTGCGGGCCACGGCCGCCACGACCTGCCTTCCAGCCGCCAAGGCTCACACAGGGCGCGCTCGCCACACCGAAACAGCAGGGCCCCGAGGGACGGACGGGGCCTGCGGGCCACGGCCCCCACTGCCTAACGTTGCTTTCTGAACCTACAAGAAAAGTAGCTGTCTGACCACAGCCAAACAGCAGGGCCCTGAAGGACGGACCGGGCCTGCAGGCCACCGCCCTCAGTGCCTAACGTTGCTTTCTGAACCTACAAGAAAGCAAGCTGCCTGACCTGTCTTCCAGCCGCCAAAGCTCACACACGGCGCGATTGCCACGCCAAAACAGCACGGTCCTGAGGGACGGACCGGGCCTGCGGGCCACGGCCGCCACGACCTGTCTTCCAGCCGCCAAGGCTCACACAGGGCGCGCTCGCCACACCGAAACAGCAGGGCCCCGAGGGACGGACGGGGCCTGCGGGCCACGGCCTTCTGAACCTACAAGAAAAGTAACTCTCTTAGCTGTCTTCCAGCCGCCAAGGCTGCGCTCGCCACACCGAAACAGCAAGGCCGTGAGGGACGGACCGGGCCTGCGGGCCACGGCCCCCACTGCCTAACGTTGCTTTCTGAACCTGCAAGAAAGCAAGCTGCCTGACCTGTCTTCCAGCCGCCAAAGCTCACACACGGCACGATTGCCACGCCAAAACAGCACGGTCCTGAGGGACGGACCGGGCCTGCGGGCCACGGCCGCCACGACCTGTCTTCCAGCCGCCAAGGCTCACACAGGGCGCGCTCGCCACACCGAAACAGCAGGGCCCCGAGGGACGGACGGGGCCTGCGGGCCACGGCCCCCACTGCCTAACGTTGCTTTCTGAACCTATAAGAAAAGTAACTGTCTGATCTAAAACGGCGCCTCCGCCACAGCCAAACAGCAGGGCCCTGAAGGACGGACCGGGCGTGCGGGCCACGGCCGCCACGACCTGTCTTCCAGCCGCCAAGGCTCAAACACGGCGCGCTCGCCACACTGAAACAGCAGGGCCCTAGGGACGGACGGGGCCTGCGGGCCACGGCCCCCACTGCCTAACGTTGGTTTCTGAACCTACAAGAAAGCTAGCTGTCTGACCTGTCTTCCAGCCGCCAAAGCTCACACACGGCGCGATTGCCATGCCAAAACAGCAGGGTCTTGAGGGACGGACCGGGCCTGCGGGCCACGGCCGCCACGACCTGTCTTCTAGCCGCCAAGGCTCACACAGGGCGCGCTCGCCACACCGAAACAGAAGGGCCCTGAGGGACGGATGGGGCCTGCGGGCCACGGCCCCCACTGCCTAACGTCGCCCCCTGAACCCACAAGAAAAGCAGCCGTCTGACCTAAAACGGCGCCTCCGCCACAGCCAAACAGCAGGGCCCTGAAGGATGGACCGGGCCTGCAGGCCACCGCACTCAGTGCCTAACGTCGCTTTCTGCACCTACAAGAAAAGTAACTCTCTTTGCTGTCTTCCAGCCGCCAAGGCTCAAACACGGCGCGCTCGCCACACCGAAACAGCAAGGCCCTGAGGGACGGACCGGGCCTGCGGGCCACGGCCCCCACTGCCTAACGTTGCTTTCTGAACCTACAAGAAAGCAAGCTGCCTGACCTGTCTTCCAGCCGCCAAAGCTCATACACGGCGCGATTGCCACGCCAAAACAGCGCGGTCCTGAGGGACGGACCGGGCCTGCGGGCCACGGCCGCCACGACCTGTCTTCCAGCCGCCAAGGCTCACACAGGGCGCGCTCGCCACACCGAAACAGCAGGGCCCCGAGGGACGGACGGGGCCTGCGGGCCACGGCCCCCACTGCCTAACGTTGCTTTCTGAACCTACAAGAAAAGTAACTGTCTGATCTAAAACGGCGCCTCCGCCACAGCCAAACAACAGGGCCCTGAAGGACGGACCGGGCGTGCGGGCCACGGCCGCCACGACCTGTCTTCCAGCCGCCAAGGCTCAAACACGGCGCGCTCGCCACACCGAAACAGCAGGGCCCTGAGGGACGGACGGGGCCTGCGGGCCACGGCCCCCACTGCCTAACGTTGCTTTCTGAACCTACAAGAAAGCTAGCTGTCTGACCTGTCTTCCAGCCGCCAAAGCTCACACACGGCGCGATTGCCATGCCAAAACAGCAGGGTCTTGAGGGACGGACCGGGCCTGCGGGCCACGGCCGCCACGACCTGTCTTCCAGCCGCCAAGGCTCACACAGGGCGCGCTCGCCACACCGAAACAGAAGGGCCCTGAGGGACGGATGGGGCCTGCGGGCCACGGCCCCCACCTGCCTAACGTCGCCCCCTGAACCCACAAGAAAAGCAGCCGTCTGACCTAAAACGGCGCCTCCGCCACAGCCAAACAGCAGGGCCCTGAAGGATGGACCGGGCCTGCAGGCCACCGCACTCAGTGCCTAACGTCGCTTTCTGCACCTACAAGAAAAGTAACTCTCTTTGCTGTCTTCCAGCCGCCAAGGCTCAAACACGGCGCGCTCGCCACACCGAAACAGCAAGGCCCTGAGGGACGGACCGGGCCTGCGGGCCACGGCCCCCACTGCCTAACGTTGCTTTCTGAACCTACAAGAAAGCAAGCTGCCTGACCTGTCTTCCAGCCGCCAAAGCTCATACACGGCGCGATTGCCACGCCAAAACAGCACGGTCCTGAGGGACGGACCGGGCCTGCGGGCCACGGCCGCCACGACCTGTCTTCCAGCCGCCAAGGCTCACACAGGGCGCGCTCGCCACACCGAAACAGCAGGGCCCCGAGGGACGGACGGGGCCTGCGGGCCACGGCCCCCACTGCCTAACGTTGCTTTCTGAACCTACAAGAAAAGTAGCTGTCTGACCTAAAACGGCGCCTCCGCCACAGCCAAACAGCAGGGCCCTGAAGGACGGACCGGGCGTGCGGGCCACGGCCGCCACGACCTGTCTTCCAGCCGCCAAGGCTCACACAGGGCGCGCTCGCCACACCGAAACAGCAGGGCCCTGAGGGACGGACGGGGCCTGCCGGCCACGGCCCCCACTGCCTAACGTTGCCTTCTGAACTGCCTAGAAACGAGCTCCAAACTTAGCTTGCCCGTGTCTTCTTGCAGCTGGCGTGCGTCCTGCACAGGTCCGGTCAAAGGACCCCTCCGCAGGGCCCAAACACCATGGCACTGAAGGACGGATCGGGCCCGCAGCCGGCAGCCCACGGTGCCTAACGTTGCTTTCTGAACTGCCTAGAAACTAGCTTCAAACCTTGCTTTTCCCTGCCTTCCTGCACTGCCAACTGCCACTTTGCCTGCGTCGTCTTGCAGCTCAAACCTAGCTTTTCCCTGCGTTCCTGCACTGCCAACTGCCAACTTGCCTGCATTGTCTGACAGCTGGCTTTCGTGCGGCACAGCTCCGGTCAAGGGACTTCCTCGCAGGGCTAAAACACCATGGCAGTGAAGGACGGATTGGGCCCGCGGCCCGTAGCCCAGAGTGCCAAACATTACTTTCTGTCGCTCGTTTACTCTTGCTTCTGCATTCTTGCTTCTAACTTCTTGTTTCGTGCTTCTTTCGCTTGCTACGTTCGCTGAGACTGCCTCTCCTTTCTCGCTTCCTTTTTTGGGCTTCTTACTCTGCACCTGGCTTCCCTTTCTGTCCCCCCCTCGCTTGCCCCTCACTTGCACTGCACAACACTTGTTGCTTGTAATCTCTTCTCTGACGCGCTCCCCCTGCTGTCGGCAGGGGTCGGCGGATATAGATATACATATAGGCCATAGATGGCTATACGAAAAACATCTAAATCTATATCATAATATTATCTATCAGTGGAGGGTTTTCCACTAAGCAATATCCAGTTGCAACTTGGAACGGGTGAGTTTCTCCGTTTCTAAATGGGCTAAGGTCTGGAGAACCCCATTAAGTAGCATGGTATGGTCACTTAAGTAGGGACTAGAGTGAACGTGAGCGAGAGGGAACCAGCCTCCAATGAAGATTCGGTTGAATCTTGTTGAGTCCCTGCAAGGACCTTGGGCCCTTTTTTTTCCCGTGCTCAGTGCTTATTTGGTAAGAAGTTTAGTCTGAAGGTAAAAATAGTTTCGAAAACTGATGTTTTGCCAATTTTTCTGATTCGTTTTTTTTTTGAAGTGCAGTGATTCAAAAAAGTGCAGCCCTCTTTTTTTGTAGGCGCATTCGTCCCTTTGGGATGGCATGCCTGTCCTGGAAAAGATCGTTGGCAAAAGGGTGTCCATGATGAACGATTCGGAGGCTGAGAAACAACTCACTGCTCACATCTCTGAAGCTTTGCTGCCCTAGTTTGAATTTCATGTTTGTTTTCCTTGAACAAGATTTTTTTCGGACACTTTGGGGGTAAACCGGGCAAACCAACCTCACCCTTGTGAAGCCACACAGGAAACCAACCTCACCGAATGGGGCTGGCTGGAACGCGCATCTGCGTTTATCGCATCCTTCAGAGAAGGCTTGGGCGCTAAAGGTCTGGACGTAACATCCCTGGTGTGGCGAACAAATCCCAACTGTCCAGTCCTGTTGAAGCAGGGTGCAGTCATCGTGAGCAACTTCAGTAAACTTTCAGCAGAGGCAGTGCGGAAAGAGGCCTGGGGATGTCAAATCTGAGTCCAAAAAACAAGATTCAATATATATCATTATTCTTGTTGTTATTATTATTAATTATTATTATTAATGATTATTATTAATTATTATTATAATTATATATTTAATATATATATATATATACTGTAGCACTTAGTTTGGTTTCAGATGTTTCAGCTTTGCTGCCGGAAAGCCTTCCATTTTTCTCAAACGTTTCCACCGAGGTGGCGCAAGCTGAACGGTCTCCATGGTCTGAATGCTGCCTTGTGGATTGGCGCAAGCACCTGGAAATTCACAATGAAAGCCAATGCGATCATCATCACTACAGCAAGGCTAGGGGCTAGGGCGGGAGGAGCAAGCTGAAGTATCATATTATAAGAAAAATAAGTAACTAAGTAAGTAAATAAAGAAAACAACAAATCAATCGTATGTTATCAAAGGAAGTCCACAGTTTGAAAACTTCCGAGTTACGGACGAACGTCCAGGGGCAGTCCTTTCATCACATCATGAGTA